TGTGTCTTGACAATCCCTCTAAAGAGACCATAAAACTCTTCCAAACACTCCTGGGTGAGACACAGTCTACCTGTAGGGTGAGATTTACTCCTAGCAGCTTTTATGTGACCATAGGGGCCACTGGGGAAATGCATTTCCTAAAAGATGCACTGTCCCATAGTGCAGCATGGAGAGGGCAGGAGAGTGAAAATCTGTCACACAGGGTTTTGTATAGTGGTCCAGGGCTTTTGGTGAAACAATGTTGTCTTGGTGCCTTTTTCAAACCACTGGCTACCTCTGCCTGCACTCTTATGGACTGGCTCAGGCATGCCACTGTAGAGCTTGGACTTGGGCTGGTGACACCTCTGCTCCTTGTTTGTACAGTGCCTTGAACAAGGGAGTCCCAGACAGGTACTGGTGCTCCTACATAGTATGGCAAAGACATAACAAGGAGGATGGAAATGAGAGACTCAGCTTGAGAAGATATATAATGATTACAGTGGAGGCAGGAGCTGCAGAAAAAGAAATTACATCTGACATAAATAGGACTTTACTTCTTTGACAATAACACAAACCTGTCCTGCATTTTCTGGGCTATGTATATCATGGAAACACATACACAAAGCCATTGCAGTGAGCTGTCTTACTGAAAGAGGTATTTGTTCAAGAATAGAACTTATCATAGATATAGGACATGTAACCAGTGTGCTACTTGCATTAAGTGGGCAGCTCTCATTTTCTTAGACATCAGTAAAACATCTCTCACAGATACAAATACTATACTTGGAGAATTGAGGATTCTTAAAAAAAAAAAAAAAAAAAAAAGAAAAGATAAGTTGGAGAAGGAAGCGACTAAAGTGGAGATGTTGTCACTAAGTTAACACAGAGGTTGGTGAGAAGATAGTCTGAGAAAACTGGATGACCTCGAAGGCTTTTATGGTAGCAATGAGACAAAGAGCACACAGCATAAGGTCATCTCTTTGGGGCCAAGGGTGAGGATTTCTGACTGCATTTGTTTAACTTACAATGACTCCAGGCTGCCAAGTGAATGCCGCCACAGAAAAAGTAGATTAAATTTTTAAGATGTACCAGTAAAGTCATTCCAGGAGAGAGAAGAGTTTCAGTATTTGCATATAAGACACCTGGAATAACCTGCACAGCTCTGGTTACTCAAGAAGAAAATAAAAGGAAGAAAGAAAGAAATGAGAGGAATATGTCTTTTTGTTGGCCAACAAATTACAAATGGAGAGGGATCATGGTAGAGATCTAGCCGAGAAACTCAATGCCAGAGAAGAAGGGCAGTTAGGTAGGTTAAATCACAGCACTGATACCTGAACAAAGGGTATAAGCTGCTCCTGATGGATGCCAAGGGCTGCACATTTCCTGATGCTGTTCCTTGTACCTTCCAGCAAAGGGGCAGGGGCTGTCTCCATCCTCACACTAGCTGATGAAGGACACGTGGTAACACAAACACCCAGGCCACACGGCTCACCAGGCTCCTGCAGCACTGTCGGGAGGTTTAACTTTGGGCCATAACTGCACAGTCATTAGTGTTTACAAAACAAGGTTCCAGGGAAGCGAAATTACACATCAAGGAAATAATAAGCAGCAATGTAATCAGATGTGAGAGGAAGATCATTTCATTACCTCAACCAGGTCTCATTATTCACCATTTCCCTGGCAAGAGCTGATAAATGCAGGCTAATGAATCTTAGCACTCCGGACGAGCGGGAGGAGTGCCGGCTGGGCGCTGCCGCATGCTAAGCACGACCAGAGAATCCAACTTGCAGCTAAAAGTCCAAAAGGTAAAATATGAACTCATCCATTGCAGCACTGCAGTGAGATGAGAGGGGGGTTTTACCCATTGCTGGCTTGGTCTTACAGGGTAACCCTGACTGTGGGAACACCGTGGCTTCTATCTGGCCCAGAGAAGTGAAATTAACTCTAAATGTCCCAAGAATAATAGGGCATTTGCTACATGGTGTGCATACACGGGTAATAGGTGCAAGGGCCAGAGTTGGCTATTTAGGGAAAGCCATCCAGGACCAACAGTATTAGCTGGGAGACTTCCCAGATTGTCCTCACAGTTAAATATCATCCTAGGCCTGGTCATGGCACAAGGAAGACGTTAACAGAGAAAGAAACAACAGCATTAACATGGAAAAACATAGTAGCAGGACCTTTGCCCACTTCTGTGGCACTTTTTTCATCAATACAGTTGCCCATTAGCTACTGTAGTCATTTCTCCCTTTAAAAAAGCAGGGAAACTGCAAATACAGCATTCACTGTACACAATAATTAAAAAAAAAAAGAAGTAATACTAAACAAACCATGACAAAAGGGGAACAAACCTCTTTAATATAAATGATTTTGCAGAGTTGCAAATACTACTTTTTTTTTTTTTTTTTTTTTTTTTTTTCCCCTGTACTTTCTGCACAGTTCACAAGCATCGTGGCCCCCAGATTTCATAGGAAGAACCAGAACATTTGGTAAGGCTCCTCTGGAAGGAGCTTAGACGCTAACAACCAACATAAAATGAGTATCTGTTCAGAAAAGAACTCGCATATCCTGACATTACAGCGAAATGCTGCCCTCATCTGTCTTTCAGTGACAGGTTTTATTTTCCTACCTACCATGCCTAAACCATTCAGCATTTCCAGAATGAAAAGGCGACTCTGTTGTTGCAACCAATTCTGAAATCTGTGCCTGGACCTGTGTTAGCATTGAAGCCATTAAGAAACACCATCATTGGTAACTAAAGTCAATTGCCATCTTGCTGCAATGGAGTTTAAATGTAGAAATAGCTTGATTCTCTGTATTGAAGATAGTGTCATGGCCCAAAAAAAGAAGATGGCTTATACATTCTTTATAACACTAAAACCAACCAAAGGGGGGGAAAAAAAATAATCGCCAATGCCAAGTGAGTGGGAGTACTAAGAGGCAGCATTGGGGTTCAGCAAGAGCAGAGCAACCCCTGCTCCTGCAGCAATTTGCACGCTAGTGCATCCGGCAGGGATGAGGGGATCTGGACACCTGCAGCCCAGCCTGTTGCAGAAAGCCACAGAGAATAAGGCTGGTTTGTCTCTTTCATCCACATCAGTAAAAATCCAGTGCACGCACACATACACACAGAGTGGAGGCACATTTCAAGCACCATCAGTGGCCCTCAGGAAGGTGAAATGAAGGAGAAATTGAACATGCATTTATATTTCATAAAAGTATAAGCTTTGAAGTTGGAAAATTACATCTAGTAGATGAAGTATTGCACTAGCCAGTTCTGTATGGGGTTGGGGCCCAGAAGGAGCATCTATTAAACCTCTGTGAGACAACACTGCTGGCCAGCCAAGGTCCTCAGAAAGTACTTTGGCTGATGAAAGTGCAGATCACAGTACGTACCTGTTAGCATTTGCAGAGCTCCAGAGGAACACAGCACTCAGAGCAGATGGAGATGCTTCTGTAACAAGTCCTGTCTTTATTTCTTTTAATGAAGTTAGCCTTGCTGGAACTCCAAGAGAGGAGCTGGAAAGTCTGATTCTGCTGACTCACAGTTTACTGGCATTTCTCTTTGGTTGTGCCTTTGTCTCTAGACTTCCATTCCTTTTGATTTTATTTTGTAGATCCTGGATTTAATCAAAGTCTGCATCTCTAGAACTGAATGTAGAACGGTCTGAAGTCTTAATGCCTGGAGCATCATCCCAGCACAAGCAGACAGGTCTAATTTGATGGCACTAAACTGACTCTCTGGAGACTCAGAGGTTTACAATCAGCCCCAGGATTTGGATTCCAGCTTCATGATTTCAGGTCGCCCACACCAGTGTGGTCAGCTCTCACCCAGCCAAAGCCTGTGGCCCTGGGTACCACACAGCCACAAGCTTTGTCCAGCTTGGCATCCAGGTGATGGGAACAACGCTGGATGATGCCTGCCCATGAGCTCCACACTAACATCCAAGTTCTTGCATCCCCGTTCAAGGGGAGCAGCCTGGACAAAACTTGACAGAAACATTTTGACATATACAGAAATGCTCATTGGAATGTTTTTAACAGGTTTGTTGAAAAAATCCTTCAAATTATTTCTGTATCTAATTGCTGTCTAGTTTCCTAGATGTAAAACTTCAAAACAAGCCTCCTAAATTGATTTGCATGGAAACGTCAATCCCAAATGGTCGTTTCTAAGATCCCAGAGGAAGCAATGTGCTCAGGACTGCCCAGCCTCAGACCTTCCAGCTGGATCCAGGATCCCTCCAGCAGCTCACCCTCCCGCTAGCTTCTTCCAGGTCACCAACTCCAGAGTCTGGCTGATGCCTCAGCAATCAAACTCTCTCATTACAGCCTTTCTGCCTGGTGCCTTAATTTGATCTGTCATTTCACAGCCTAATAGCTCTGTCTGAACAGGTGGAATATGGCAGATTCGTCTCATTATTTTAGTCTTTGTCAATCAACCACTATTAATTTGCAGCATTCTACACATTTCTAGATTTTCCTCTAAGCATTCCCCTCTCTCTGATCATCAGCTGCATCAAATACACCATTATATTACTCCTTCCTACATTGCTGCCTTCCTTCCCAATCTGTCCTGTACGTATGACCAGTATTTGGTCCTTTTGGCTCTTACTTGGTGTCTGCTTATTCGTTTCCTCCTTTGCTTTCAAAGTACTTAAACAATACTCAGCAAAGTAAAACTAAGAACTAATATTCGCTTGAGTTTAATCATTCTGGTCGTGTAACATCTGGGGAAATTCTACCTACCTTCATGCTGGTAGTATTTTATGAATGTGTATGTAGGGCTACAAGCTGCCTTGCAGGCACTTTTTTGTGGCTACAAGAGTGGGTCTACCTTTTCTGAGCACTGAAGCAAGTAGATCTGCTGTACTGTGCACCATCAATGCAATTGGACCCAGCTCCTACCGTAGCTGCAGTGCTCCAGCCACCTGGGGACTCCTCAGTGCTGGAGGAGGAGAACTCACCACGTCCCAGTGATTGTCCCCACCAGCTGGATATTCTTAGCAGGGTCAGAGCCAAACCCTCATTTTCAAAGAGGATCACTGCATTTATCATCAGCACTTTTGTCTTGCGGCACTGAGAGTACTCAGAGGACTGAAGAACCACGTGGGAGGTCATGGCGTTTCAGGTAGTTACAAAATGGGGTTGCATACATGACCTGTCCTTGGCTGAAGCCTACCACACCTGATGGCTGTGGCTCTTGGCCAACACTTGGCTCATTGACTGAGTGTGCTCCACATTTCAAGACCAGAGACAGGAAGATCTGAGCCCTACTTGCTTTTTTATGTTTGTTTGTTTTTTTTCTTCTCTGCATCCACTTTAGGTTGTGGTGGTGAACACTAGCTCTCTGCTTTCTTGCAAACTCCATAATTCACCTTTTAAAGTGAATTATCTTACTTTACCTTATTTTTCCTAACACTGGTGGAGAAGTTATCTTTCCTGGGGAGGGAAGCTGGAGTCATGGATGCTCACTGCTTGTTTCACATTGTGGAGCTCAGGCTGCTCATAGCAAAGCTAGTTGTGGTTTCCCTGCTGTTTGGTTATAGTAAGAAAGTCTGCATCAGAAGAAGTTCTGCTTTCCTGATTGCTTGAAGAGAAATATTGAAAGTTTGGAACTCAGGAGATTGAGCACCAACTACAGGGAGATGCCCAGATGAAACTGTCTTCAGGCTCTGTTGAACACGAATCAGTTTGTGTCTGGCAGTTTGTGTCTGGCAGAGCACACACAAGAGAGAAAATTCAATAGGTTCTCTTGGCAACAATGTGCATTTTCTTGTAAATTAAATAAAGTTTGCAAATATTAATCACATAGTTCAGGGTTTGCTCTCCAGGACAGTTGTATGAGCTCAAACTAAAGGTCCAGTCCAGGCCAGCATCTTGTCTCTGACACCAGCTTGGCTTAGACTCCCAGGGAAGAGCTTAAGAGCAGTAGAAGCATTACAGACCCCCTTTCCTAGTATTCTCAAAGTTTTCTGAAGCAGGGATAGTGTCTTATTGAGGGTTTGGTTTTTTTTCCATTTTTCTGAATTATTTTGAAACAATCCAGCCATTTAGTACTAACACCTTTTGTCAAGGAGCTCCACAGCTGAACTGAGCATTGGACAAAACATTCCTCCTTTCACCTTAAAGCTGCCACCATCTTTTCTCTGGTTCTAAAATTATTAGAAATAGTGAATAGCCTTTCCTTAGTCCCCTTCATCACCCTTCTCATGATTTCCATAGACGGCTGTTGGCTCTGCTATCCAGCCTTGATTTTTGCAAAGCAATATCTTTGTTCCTTTTCCTTGCTGGCTGAGCAGAGCCTATTCCACCACTCAGGCTGTCTTTTGGTGCTTTTTCTGTAATTCTTCAATTCTGCTCTGCCTTTTGGCCGGGGTGAGCTGCACATGACATTCAAGATGCACACACACATTTAACCTCCACGCTGGCTCTGTGGTTCATCAAGGTGTGGTTTTACTCTTTCATAATGGTCTGAGCTATCATGTACTGATAAATCAAGAAAATTATATCAGGCCTTCTTGAGATTGTTTTATTGAGGAAGAAAACCTTCCTTTAGTAGCTCTGACTGTGTTATCAGTCAGCTTGATCTTGATTGAGCAGGGTCAGCTCAGGTAAGGCTGACATTTCCCACTGCATTTTCTTCAATAGAAGATCCAGTTTAACTCGCTCTTCCATCTTCCCTTTCACCATAGCTTCTCAGTCCCACATCACCTCCTCCCCTGCCTGCTCAGAGGTTGCTGTCTCCAAGTCATCCAGTTTCTGTGGCTCTAGACTTTAGGGGATCTACTAAATGATCCTGTGACAAAAACTACCAGCACTGGTTTTGAGGGTTTGGTGTTTTGGGGTTTTGTTTGGTTGTTTTGGTTTTTGCTGTTGTTGTTGGTTTCTTTTAAAAAAAAATTATTACACCAAACTAATTTAGAGTAAGATCATTAATTCTTGCATAGTAATAAGCTCAACAGTACTTCTACAGTACAGTACCAGAACTGGAGGGGTGGTGGGAATGAGGACCTCTGAAATTGAATCTGACCAAAAGATTCAACATGAAACTTCTGCTGTGATCAGTTTGAGTTGACAAACCAGGTTAAGTTAGCAGTGGAAGACAACCTCTCCCCACATACAGTTCAGATCACACATATTTCATTTCCCCCTGCATCCCTTCTGGGGCAGGGGAGAGGACGAGGAGAACCAGAGCCCAGAGCTGGTCTTCTGCCCTGTGCATGCTCTGGAACAGACCTGAAGTTTGGTTGCAAAGTTTCATTCATATACCCAGTTACCCCAAATTTTTACAGAAAAATAACTAATCTACAAAAATCAGTGAAAAATACTGACATGGCTACTAGATATATTTTTATAGACATAAGATATGTAGCTCTATGTGTTGTCTTCTTTCCTCTTTTCCTTCCTCAAGTGCCATTTACCTACAGCCCATAGATTTCAGTTCATTTTTTCCCCTCCCCTCTACTGTCTACCCAAAAGGCTAATGGTCAGGAGATTCCTTGGGACTCACAGGAACCCGAGATTAGATATTGGCTCCCAGAATCCCACTAACAGAGGGCCACACATTTAAAAAAATAACTAACATCATTAAAGAAAAAAAACAAAAAACAACCAACAAACCATGTTATCCTAAAGGGTCCTGCCAGCATTTGCCCTATTTGCATCAGAGCTAAAGTGGAAAAGATTTTTGTCATCCAGATAGTAGTAACAACAATTTCCTCATTCCAAATCAAGAAGTCAAAACATCGACTCCCCCCTCACCTCCCTTCCAAAGCAGCTTAGATTGAGCAAATAGTTTTTTAAGTTTCAAGAGGTGTTTGATAAATCTCAGTATTTTTTTGTCTTCGGTACTTTGTAGTCTGCATTTACTGACCTTCGGAAGCAAAGACCATCTGGACTGAAAAACAAACATTACCAAAATCACCGAAAACAGGTTCTTCCAACAAAAACCTTTTGTCCCAGTAATTTCTTTGGGGCCAGCAGATGTCAATTTGCATGGCAGATGCCCCATCCCTTGGAGCCTGACTCTGGTGCCACGGTGCCTGCGTTAAACACAACCATGACCATGAATCTGAAGCCAAATAACACAGAGCCCTGCTATAGACCCACAAAATGATGGCAAATTAGATTTAAAGCTGAAACAAGAAAATAAAGCCTTCAATTAAAAAGATGCATGCTGCTTCTGTGTCTATGCTGGACACCTGGACACCTCAGCAAGGCCACATCATCCACAGGCATGGCAAATGAGAACAAGTTGAGGCTCAGCCAAGCTCTGGGGACTTGGAATTGGGGATGTGCAAAGTGTCACAAAATTGTGATATGGGGCTGGAAAGGTCCACTTACTGGGACAACTGGTCTGCTGAGACAACCCGTACCTGCAGAGGCCAGAGTGGCATTAACAGAGCAGCCGTATTGCTACCATAACACTCACACCTGAGCTCAGCAGGCACACCACTGGTGTCTTTCCCACATCTGGAACAGGATAAAAAAGACCTTTCAATACAACCAGTCTCATTCAAATCTCAGACACTGTTCAACAGCCACCAGCCAGGCAGGAGCCAGTGCCAAATGCCTCAACCTCATGGCTGCTGCTCTACCCTGTCCTCTCCAGAGCCTGGGGCCAGCACCAGGACCCAGGCAGGAGCCACCAGTCCACACTGCTCTCCACTGGTTAGCAGACCACCATGCAGTCTGGCTGGAAAACATCCTGCTGCAAACAGGGATGGAGGAGAAACAAAATTAAATACTTATTTATTTTTTATTTTTATTTTACTTCATGCTTATGAACAGTGTCTGTAATAGAAATAAATAACGTCAGGGTTTTAAATTTGCTTTCATAAACTTCGCCCCTAACCAACTGCTTTACATAGGCACACAAATGCCAGCTCAAATACCTCTTTTGAAATGTTTCCATGTTGTAGATGTGTCTTTGGAACTGCACACATCTATGTTCTCTTTCCTGACTGAAATATACTTGAGTTTTGAGCCAATCCAAAGTAAATGTACTACTTTTGCACTTTGCCTTTTCTCTTTCCAAGAGTTTTCCTTTCACTCCTGTTTAGCTTGATCCAAAGCAGAACCATTTTCTTTTTTTCCTCAAAGTCAAAAACTCCAAACCCCAGGCATTTCGACCACTTGCTGAGCACGGAACATCCAGGAACACTGCACTGGTTGATGCTGCTGATTTTTCAGCTTGACAAACAGAAGGACATGGGGTACCAGCCTGCGTGGGTGAAGAATACACCCAGGTCTGCCAGGCCCAACCTGCCTCCAGCACAGCACTGAGGGACACCACTTCATCATGTAACCCCAGCTGCTGTGCCAGAGCTGTGACAGGTGAGGAATATGAATGCCAACCCCTAAATACTCTTTGAGACTTCTCAGCAGATGCCAGCAGTCAGCTCATCCAAAGAGAGCATCAGAAACTGGATGCACTGGGAAGGTGTCAGACATGCACATGCAGAGAAGGATCCCGGCTCTGCCAGGGGCCAGGAGAACAAATCTTGCCTTCAGAACTGGGGTACTTTCTTACCTTGGAGAAAGGAGAAAACACTAAAACTGGATCCTCAGCCCTGGAGAAATTGTCTTCTGTCTCTCTACTGGGAGGCTTTAATAGTGCAATATAATGAAAACAACCCCTAGTAGCCCAGAAGACAGGTCCAGAGCAGAAGCAGCCTCAAAGGAGCCCTGTGTGCAGCAGCAGGGGCTTCCCACAGGGCAGTAGATGGCTGGTATTACCCTTCAGCATCTCTTGCCAAAACTCTCCTGAATTCTTTCTGAAGCTGTTTTGGCCAGCCTGCTTTCCCACCACCCCTTGGAGAGCTCTCACTCATTACTTGACTAACTGCTCTCTCCTTCCCAGAGTCTGTCCCTTCCCAGGTATGAACTGCTGCCTGCTGTGGCAGCTTCCATGGATGGTGCAACTAGGGATGAGCACCACAGATCTGTGGCTCAGCCTCCCTCCCAAACCCAGCCTCTCCATGCACCAGGGCCAGCAACACCACTGTTTTCTGCTGGTTCATGGCTAGACCATGACCCTAGAACAGCTGGAGTGCAGGAAAGGGGTTCTCTTCACCACCTTCTGTTATAGGCTCTAATCCCACAGTACTTTTTATAAA